GCCGTGGGTCGAGGGCAGCCCCTGGCGGCGGGCGCAGCCGCTCCGGAATCCGACTGAGTCCGCCGAGCCCTGGTGTCGCGGAGCTCCGGCCAGAGGGTTGGAAAGAAGGAGAGTGGAAGCGGAACTGGGACATCAGTTTTGGAGCCGCTGAAGCCTTATTTGAGCTACAGGTCAGTGGCGAAAGTCAGCGGTCGCGACCCGTTTTGTGGGGGAAACCGTTCTCAGGCAGATCACATCCCGCCCTTACCTTGGGGACCCTTTGGCAGCGCTGTTGTTGCGGCACCCAGGTGCGGCCTGCTCGCGCCGCTGGATCACAGGTGCCCGGTGAACTGTGTTCTCCCGACGCTGCCTCCCGTTGCCCTGGGCATATGGGTCTGCATTGGTTCTGCTCTGCCCTCTGGTACTCCCGACATCCTCCAAGAGCATGGATGGAAAGCAGCAGGGGGGACTTGAACCAGCCTGCAGCATTGACAGAGGAAAGTTCCTTTGCCAATGTTGGATGCTGAGCTGTCCCTGCTTCTAGGTGGGAGGGTACAGACATTTGGGTCAGTTTGAGCTGTAAAGCTACCATACTCTGGGTTTGCCCAGATGTGTTCTCATTTTTGCCTCAGCAACTTTGCTGGGCAGATTTTGTGGACTTTCTTCTCTGTTGTGAGCACATGGTAGACTGGTCAAAGCTATGCAGGAACATCAGGTGTGTCTCCAGTAGATGCACAGATCCACCAGCGGCATACGAACAACATGGGTTCAGAGATGTCAAGAACAAGTAGAGCCTGCTCCTTGGTTAGCATGAGTAGTCTAAATAAACAAGCCATGAACTAAAGGTCAGTCCTGCTAGATCAGCTTCTGTCAGCCACTGTTTTAGAGTATGTCATTTGGCATGGTGGCACAGAAGAGCTCCTCCTGTCTCAATAATTGCTGCAATGTGGTACTGCTCCCAAGTAGTAGTAGCTCCAGTCTTTTACGGGGTCATGTTATTCCAGAATAGGAACAATCCCATGTGGAGGCAAATCCTGGGGGTTGAGGTGCCCAGATGCCTCAGACCCTATAACTGGGACACAAGACTTGACAGATACTTGGTGGATTTTGCCACTAACAGAGTGGTTTGGTGTCCATGTCACACCAGGGAGCAAATGTCTGCTACAGTAAGAAATCAGCCAGCTCAGCTCATTAATGACCCCATGCAAGCCATTGATCAGGGTCCCACCCAGAGCAACACTATGCTCATTTTCAAATGGCATTTTGGCACTATTAAGAACTTGAGGGTAACTTAATCTGAAGACATTCCCATGAAAGTCCCACTGCATTTTTAAATAGCAAGTAGAGAGACAGTGAGCTCATGGACACTGTTCTTACGGGTTGGTTACAAAGCTTCTCTGTGCTTAGTCGGAGAAAGTGGGGAGGAGGGGTGGAGACTGTGTCCCTGCAGCAGGGGGCCAGTGGCAAGTGGGGCCCCCACAGGGGCTGTGAGGCTGCTGGAGGTGCTTGAGGTGCTGTGGGAAAGCAGGCAGGAGAGGTTGAGTTCTGTGGAACTGCAAAGCTCAGGGTCTGAGGCGCAGGCTAGCAGGGAAGGAAGGGAGGAGTTGAACCAGGTCTGCATTGCAAACAAATATTTGCTCGTGTAGCTCTACCATGATTAAATCGACATCCCTCCTTATGCAGGTGCAGTTATTGCTTACCTTTGCCAATACAGGCTATACCTGTCCTCAGGGAAATAGTAGTACCTGGGAAATGCTTATAGCAGCCTGACAGTTTCTGTTCAAGACCTCCTGTAGAAGTAGATTTACTGTGTAAGAATTTTAACAGCTTGATCATTTCTATGCTAGTAAGGTCCTTTGGACATGTTGAATACAGATACTGGGGACATGAGATGTTTCAGAAGCCCCAGCTTCGGGGCACCCCAAAATGAGTGACTTGACACAGTAAGTGGGAAGTTGGCTGCAGGAGGAACCAGACTTTTTTTTTTTTCTAATTTTTTTTTTTTTTGTTTTGCAATGTTCTCATTTTATTTTGCGTATTTCAGGGTTTGATGATAATGTGTAGGCTGTTTTCCACCTACATCTCTGGCAGTCTTGCTAAAGAGCCTAAACATCATCACTTGGCTGCCGCAGCTCAAACTCTTGGGATGTTATTTTGCACTAAGAGATCCCGTCTCTCTTCAGGCCAAAATGGTCAAACTCTCAACGACACAAAGGACACACTGACATGACATCATCTCAGGTCAGTTCAACTTATGAGCTGGCCACTCTGTGCTGACCTGCACAAGGTCACACAGCAAGAGGGCATTGAAATGCAGAACAAGGAAGCCACATTGAAGGCAGAACCTCCCCACTAGAGGAGGGTCACACACCTGCTGACATCAGGGACACTCTTGGGAGCAGAGATCTCCACTGCTGGAGTAGGAAAGCTGTGTGATAGGAGGTTCAATTATCCAGCACAACAGCTCTGAGGCTGTGCCTTGCACAAAGGTGCCAATGGCACACTACTGACTCAGGGAGGGAGAGAGTAATCCCAGAGGGGAAAAATGAAGCAGCCAAAGGAAAAGCTTCTTTTGTGGTAACTTTTTTAGAGATTTTCACCACTCAGACAGTAAGGGGCTGAAGAAAACTTCTGCTAGCGGTACCAGGTGCAATAACACAAAGCAGTTCTCCTCCAGAGATACAGGTGGGGTCACTGTGACACATGCTTGGGAGATTAAGCCCAGTCACGAGGCCTGTTATCAGTATGCCAAAAGTGGCAGCAAGAGGTGAATGTGAAGTGACTTGAGAACATGGAAAGAACATTCAAGTGTCTCTGAGAACACTGGTATTCAGAGTATTCAGACTCAGAGGGCCCTGAATCTTTTGCTAATAAAAGAAGAAACAGCCTTCATGAATTGTGAACACCAGATCACTGTAGATGAGGTAAGAGATGTATGATCAGTATTTCCAGGCCAAATCACCTTGTTGCTGCCTGTCCTTGGCTGAAGTATATATTGTATAACTGTCTCTACAGAACTGCAAAATGAGGCAGCTGCCTGAGATCATGCTCAAACTGTTCCTCAGATACTGCTCCCAAGTGGAAGTAACGGTATTTGGAGTTGTACACTTTTTCATAAAGCTCTTCATCTGATCTCATACTTGGTCACACACTCCATGTCAGGAAATGGCAGGTAGAGGTCCTTGCATGAGAGGTCTTCCTCATGTAAGGCTGTGGAAGAACCAGTGATGCTAAAGCTGCTAAAAGATGCTAAAGCCTATAGAAGGCTTAGTATTGCAGTCCTGCTGTCCCACTCATATATCTCTATGGATGCTAGCTTTAGAACAGGCTGCAGGGAGCTGCAGAGACTGCAGGCCCATGGCCTCTCAGTCCTGCCTGAGAAGCTAGCCTGGGAATTCAAAGGAGGATTTCGAAACAATCCTCAGAGACAGAAAACAACTGCCAGGTGCTGTTTATCTGTCCTCTTGTTTTCCCTTGCAGGAGAGGGTCAGGGGGGTAGAGTGCCCCTGACCAATGATGGTGATGTAGCACTTTGATAACCAATAAGAGTTTCTTTTCTGTACTTTCCACGTATCTGTCTATAAGACAAGCCTGAAAGGAAAAACTAGGAATTCTCCTGTTGAGACTCCCTTGAGGGTCCGTGTCGTTCTTTATCGCCGTTCCCAATCGGAACGACATATCTCAGGCTGAGAGTTGTGGCAGTCCCTGGGCAGATGTACTACAGGTGTGAGTGCAGCCAGCATATTGTCCTTGAAGTTTGGGCCAGCAGGCACTGCCCTTGCTCTGCCTCTATTAACAAACTGGGTTGCACAGCTTGGAACCAGTCCAGTCCAGCACCAGACCCACAGTAACTGTCTCCACGTACAGCAAGGAGGGGAGTAACAGCTCCAGTCAGATCTGACAACCCTTTGTTGAGAGACTGGTGATACTGAGAGTAGGTGCCTAAAATGCTTGGCAAGGCCTGTATTTCCGTATCAGGGAGCTAAAGGTTTGAGCTCGGCAGACATACGTAGTGAATTCTCCAGTATTTCAGCACAGACATCTTGTATCCAGTGTCTCAAAGATCTTCTTGAATGGAAGGAGCCAGGCTGACCTGGGTGCAGGCATTGCTGGCTTAAGTTCTTTAGATTGTGTGCTGTGAAAGTTCTGCCAAATGGTCTTATCAAGTATGAGGAAATGAAAAAACATCCTTGTTCTTCATTAATCCTGTCTGTTTTGTGAAGAAGATGATATTGAATAGCCTTTGGAAAAAGATAGTTGGAGATATTTGACCAGTTGTAAAAATACATGTTTTTAAGCACCAGTCAGCAGGTTGTTGTGTTGTTGTTTGGGTTTTTTTCATAGCAGGCATGATGTAAATTTAAATAACTAACCAAGTGTTCTGCAATGGGGCTTTTTAAAAATCATCCTGTCCTAATTTTTTCTGCCTTACCATCTGTAGCTCCTTTGCAGAGTAAGTAGCAGTGTTATCACGCTGCTTGGCAATGTAGCAGCTGGCTGTAACCCAACCAAGCAGCAAATGCTCTTTGTTTCCTCTCCTGCTCTCTAAAACATATTGTGAGTAAAAACATACAAGGGAGGTTTTTGCAATCTTCCCTGCTGTCATGGCTCCCTGGCTGCTGAGAAAGTCATGGCATTATATAGCAAGGTAACGTCTCCCCCCAGCAAAGGAGAGCTGTGCCCTTTGAGAGGAGAGCTGCCAAGAGCGGAAGGGCATTAAATATAATATCAACATGCCCTTGGATGGGAAAGAAGGGTGTAGTGGGTGAAATGGCTGAACTGAGCCAAGGGCCCTCCATAAAACATGCTTCTCTTGTTGCTCTGAGTCCTGGTTCTGGTGTTCATCTGAGTTTGGGTGAACCCCATCAGCTCATTAAACTGGCATGGAAAAAAAGTGTGTGGTGTTTTGACAGTTAGTAACTTGTATCGTCCTGATGGATGATCTGGCAAGCACTGGGATAAGAATGAGGAGAGTAGCCACATACTAGGATGGGCCAGAAGAACAGGGGAGGAAGGTGGAGGTAGGATGTGCCTTGTGAACCTGATTGACTCTGCTGTCTAGGGTAGTCCTTGTCCCAAAACTAGACAAGACACAGAAAGGGAGATACATGCTCTCAGGTAACTTTCTATGAGCCAAACCCTGAAGCTGCTGGCAGTAAATGTCAGGAAGATGTCCCCAGCAGAAGTTTGCCTGCCTTACTTCAAAATTTCTGTGGGATGGAAACTCCCCAAAATTAGATACTTATGCCCCTGACACCAAATCAGTTACAGGTTGCCAAAGGACTTCTACTGTGTCACAGCCTCCCACACTTCTCTGTTTCTGATAAGCTCTGCTGCGCTCAAATATATGTCTGCTAAGGATTTACTGGTTGAGCTGGGCAATAGTGCTCTCTGCCCCACAGGACATGTAATACTCTGGAAAACATGAAACTGTTTCACCACCAGCAGCCTTGAGCTGGGGGACACCTGCCCGGAGCAGAGGATGATTGCTGAGAGGCCTGTGGCCAGGGTTTATGACAGAAGACGGAGCTAGTACTGCCAGTGCACCCAAACAGCAGCATGAGTGGTACAGACAGAGCTGTGCCACCTCCCTGTACCTCCTTGTTCGCTCTCCCAATGGGCTGCATGTGCTGCTTGGCCCATCTGGCTTTGCTGTGGCTAATGTTTATGCCACACAGTGTAATACTGTAGGTACTTGGCAAGAACCAAATTTATTGTTTAGCCACAGGCGAAACTGTAACTCCTCAAAGTTAATCCTACAGTGTGGTGTTTTTTCTGATAACCCTTGACAAACTAATTGAATCCTCATTTCTATGAGTAACCTGGAAGAAAGGTCTGACAACACTGCTACAATTGGTGCCTGGAACAGGGACCCTTCTGTGGGCTCCTTGAAAGTGTCTCCAGTGGCTGCTGCCACTGGACGAAAGCCATGTTTGGGTGTTCCAGTTCCCCAAGGCAAAAACACAGTTTTTCTGGGAGACTTTTCTGAGGGAGTGGCCGGCAAACCTTGCTGTCGAGGATTGGTTGTGTTTTCAAAGCTGTCATGACATTTTCCTTTTGGCCTACCAGTGTCGTGAGTATGTTGCAGTGAAGCTCACATTTTTATTTTATTTTCACATTTTTATCTTGTGGGAGTGTTAAGAACAATTAAAATATTGTTAGCCATGTTTCTTGTTGGACAGTTTCTGTTTATAAATTAATAGAAACCACTTAACCTTGTACCCCTGTCCCAAGCTGCTGTACCCTGTTCCTCCTTCAGTCGGGCCGCGCCCCCACTGCTCCCCTATAATTTCACATGGCAACAAGCGGCTGTAGCTGGTATTCTAACCATGGCAACTCCCAGGAGTCTGAGCCACAACAGGAAGTAAGACCACCGCATGTGGATCCCTAGAGCAAATGAGCCGTAGTATGGACAACTCACCAGACCACACTGGAGGACTGACAGGACGCCAAGCTACCTTGCAAAGCCATTTGATTGTGTCACCATGACAGGGTAGGACCTTCTTGTAGTCACCCCCAGGACTTTCAGTGACTCGCAGTGAGAAAGGTCTCCCATAGGGCTCCTGTGAGGTTGGAGACCCCAGCTCTGCCTTCGGGCAAAGCTGCTTGCACCTCCTCTTTCTTGTTGTCCACAGGGAGCCGTGGTGGTGAGTGTGACCCCCTCGGGTCCCCACCCAGGCTGATTGATAAAGGCTTTATAAAGAGAAGAAGGTCACTTTGCCTGTTCTTTTCAGGAGGGAGAAAGAGTGAGATGGGAGCACAATTCACTATCTTGCAGCAAGAAGTTTATTTCCAAGTTCATGATATCCTTGTTAAAAATGGTGTTGGGTTTTTAAAGAGGGATTTAAGGGCTTTTCTTTGCTGAATTTTTAAGTATTTTACAGATATCACTTGGGAATTGGTTTTGTCTATTGAGTTTTGGGATGAAGTTGGACACAAGTTATGTATTTTGCAATCTGAGGGGGATTTTGGGGTCGGGAAGTATCCAATTTTTTGTTCTATTTATAAAGTGGTTGAGGGTTTGGGGAGGAGTTTGGGAAATGTTAAAAGATTGGGACCCAGTTTTTACCCCAGTTATTGTGTTCCCCCCATGTCCCTGTCCCCTCATCCCCTCAGGACAGGTCTGGAGATGGAAACTGCCTAAAGGTGCAGGAGAGCTACCTGCCTTCTGCCATCTCTGGTCCCCTCCTAGCCCCTCCTCAGGATGGCACTGGCCCTGCCACCCTGGGCTCCAACCCAACCTTCTTTCCTATGCCCATGTGCCCAGTTCCCCCATTCAGTTCTATTGTTCAAAATGGTGCCAGCTTCGTGGGCAGATCCACCATTTTGAATGACCTGTGACCTGGTGCGAAATTTTCGACCTCAGCCACCCAAAATGACGCCTCTGATCCTCCTCCTCCCTTCCCCTCTCCTGCCCCTCCATCAGGCTCCACCCCAGTGTTTACCACTGCCCCCATGTTGGGCCCCTCCCTTTCACAGCCCCTGCCTCCTCCGATCTGGCCCCTCCCTGTGAAGATGACCGGGACTGGAGGGTATCCGTCTTGGATACTGCAGACCCCAAGCACTGGGCAGTGCCTGCCAGCCGGAGCTCTCGTGCCCAAGCCAGCACATTTCCCTCCTCTCTGGAGGAAGGCAGTGATTCCTCAGATCCAGATAATGATTCTGGAGATCACTGGGCAGAGGTACAAAAACAAGCAGCTCAGGAAGGTGATTGGGATATAGCTGGAAAGTTACAAATCATAGCAGCCCCAGTTATATTTAAAAGAGAAGGGAACCCAAAGTGGGAGTCAATTCCATATAGGGAATTAAAGGAATTATGTAAAGCACGTAAAGATTATGGGAGGAGATCACTCCATTTTTAAAACCACCTACAAGTAATTTTCTTAGCTCATGTCCTCGTGCCACATGGCCTGTGGCATGTTATGGCTCTCCTCCTCTCACCCACGGAGTTTCTCCTGTGGGAATCAATTTGGAATAAACAACTAAAAGCATTGTTAAATAATTGCAAAATTAATTGTTAAATAATTGCAAAAGTGAGGATGGACAGGCTCTTTTGACTTTAGGGCAATTAAGTGGAGATGGTGATTTTGATAAGCCACGAGAGCAGGCACAATATATCCCCAGGGCTGTTCTAGAGGACATTAAAAATGCTGTCCAGAATGCTTTATTCCAAACACTGGACGGTTCCACCCCACAACAAAGTTTCTCTGACATTCGCCAGGGCGTTGATGAGACATTTATTAAATTTATAGACAGACTAAAGGACACTATTGATAAGCAAATTGACTGCCTAAGGACTAAAGAGGAGCTGCTCAGCAAGCTAGCAGTGTCAAACGCAAATGCGAAATGCAAAACAATTATACGAACACTCCCTCCAGAACCTGAACCCACCATTCAGCAAATGGTGGAAGCCTGCACCTGTCTCACAACTACAGAACAATATGGTAGCCCCAGCAGTCAGCAGAGGAGTAGCTGAAGCCTTTGTAGCACAGAATAAACAAAATATGAGATGCTTTAAGTGCAGTGAACTGGGCCGCCTCAAGGAGGAATGTGATAAAGACATTTTGCAAAAACACTCCTCCACTGGTTGTCCCTTTGATGCATGCATAGACTGTAAGGAATGTTAAACATTAAGGAATGTAAAACATTAAGGAATGTTTTAAACACTGTCCCCGGTTCCAATCTCACCAGCAGATCCAGCATCATCTGTCTTACCAGCGGCACCAGTGAAACTTCTGGCCAAGTGCAGGGCAGCCCCGTGCTATGACACCAAATGCCAAGCCATCCTGCCCCTCTCTCCCCACCATCTTACAGAGTCGAGGCACTGAGAGATCATCTATGACAACACCTACTATGAAAAGGAGCTCCAACTCTCCAAGGCCTACCAACAGGTTCAGGCAAAGACACAATGCACACTGGTAAGTGACCTTTCCATCTGGTTTGATGATGAGGTGATGCACCAAATTCCAGCTGGTAAATTCAGACCTTCTGGTGGACCAAGGGACATTTCAATTTTAGGGGACTCTGTTAATAGACCAGATGGTCTGCAGGTACTTCTGGAAGTCCAAACTGTGGGACCAAGGGATGAGATTACAGTGACTGTCATATGTGTAGACCTGCCTTGGTTTTTGCCTAAGGGCACATCCATCACCCAAGTTTTTCCTCATACGCACCTGGACTGACCTTTTGCTGGAAATTGGTATGGCTTTTTAGGCAGAGATGGTAGGCCAGGACAGACGTCTTATAGAGTGTGGCTTGTTTAACAAAGAGGAGAAAGTTTATCTTCCAGGTGTGGCAGATACCAGAGCAGATGTGATCATCATTGCCATCCACAGGGCTGAGAGCTAGTGCCAGCCAATGCAGTCATCTCTGGGATTGGAGGAACTGCCACCTCTATGCGGACCAAACCCACAATCCTTATTAAACGTCCTGACGGTCAGATTGCCACAGTAAGACCTTTTGTAGTAAGGCCACCTATCAGCTTATGGGGCAGGGACCTATTGTCTTAATGAGGGGCAAGGCTGAAAATCCCCTCACCACCACAGGACTTTTAGCTGGGAGCGCTCCACCACACCACTCATATGGAAAACTGATCAACCAGAGTGGATTGACCAGTGGCCCCTCTCAGAAATAGTTAAAGGTGCTCGAGTCCCTAGTGCAAGAGCAATTGTCCAAGGGCCACATAGTACCATCCACTAGCCCTTGGAACACCCTTGTCTTTGTCATTCATAAACCACACAAAGACAAGTGGAGGCTTCTGCAAGACCTCAGGATGGTCAATGAGGTCATTGAAGACATGGGCTCTCTGCAGCCTGGCCTACTCTCATCCTCAATGCTCCTGAGAGAGTGGAAACTGGCAGTCATTGATATCAGAGATTGCTCTTTTAACATCCCTCTCCATCTCAGAGATCCCCCAAGATTTGCATTTTCCATCCCATCAATTAAAAGGCAAGCCCGTCTAAAAAGGTATCAATGGCAAGTTCTTCCCTGAGGGATGAAAAATTCTCCAGCTATCTGCCAAATGTTTGTTGCCCGCATTCTCTTGTCTATCCAAGAGAAATCTCCTAAGTTTGGAAATCAATTTTGTACTATATGGATGATATTGTAATATACACTGAGACTAATATTGGGAGATTTGTTTTCAAAAAGACTATTCAAGACATTGAAGGAGCAGGATTTGAAATTGTTACAGAGAAGATTCAACACACCTGCCCTTGGACCTACCTACCTTGGATACTGGATCAGCAAAAGGACTATCGTACTCCAGCAACTCACCATCAAGGACAGCCTGAGAACACTGAGAGACATACACCAGTTATGTGGGAGCATAAACTGGGTTCGTCTGCTGCTAGGGATCACGACCGAGGACCTCGCACTCCCTTTCAACCCCCTGTGAGGCTGTGGTGACCTTGACTTGCCATGAACACCCGAGGCTCAGGTGGCAATCTGAAATGTATCAGAGGCACTTTTCACAATACAGGCCCACCACACTGATCCTACCCTGCCTTTCCAATTTGTCATCTTAGGTAAGTCACCCAAATTTCATGGGCTCATTTTCCAGTGGGACCCCACTCTGAGGGACCAGCTTTTAATCATAGAATGGGTATTCCAATCACATCAACCAAATAAAGCTAAAACAATACACCTAGGAACTGATGGCTCAGCTCATTATAAAGGCCAGAGCATCCCTCAGGATCCTAGTGGGGTGTAAGTTCACATGCATTTACCTTCCACTGACATTAGGTAGTCTGGAAGCTTTGCTCCAGACCTATGAACACCTCCAGTTCACTCTTGACAGCTACCCAGGTCAAATCTCTATCCACCTACCAAAACATTAAAACTATTTAATGCATGTTTTAATTTGGTCCCAAAATCATTAAAGAGTCAAACTCCTTTAAAGGCAATGACTCTTTTTACTGATGGCTCTGGAGAACCCCACAAGTCTGTTATGACTTGGAAAAATCCTGACACTCAGGAGTGGGAGTCCAATGTCCAGGTTGTTCAGGGATTCCCACAAATTGCAGAATTAGCAGTCATCGTCAGAGTCTTTGAGAAGTTCAGACAACCCTTAAATCTGGTTACGGATTCAGCCTATGTTGCTGGGATAGCTGAAAGAGCAGAACATTCTTTGTTAAAAGAGGTGTCAAATCCAAATATATATAGCTTGCTCTCAAAGTTAGTTTATCTCCTCTCTCCCACAAAGAGCAACCATATCACATTATGCACGTGAGGTCACACACCAGCCCCCAAAGACCAGTGACAGAGGGTAACTGGACAACTGGTACTTTGGCCATGGCAGTGCAGACCACCCTGCCAGACATCTTCTGTCAGGCAAAGTTGAGCCACCAGTTTTTCAACCAGAATGTGCCAGCCCTTGTTTGTTTGTGTAAAATCACAGGGGAGCAGGCGAGAGCAATTGTGGGCTCCTGCCCCAATTGCCAGGATTATGCTATGCCATCTATGGGGACCAGGGTTAATCCCTGGGGCCTCAAGAGTTTAAAACTGTGGCAAACAGACATTACCCATTATGCTCCCTTTGGGAGACTTAAATATATCCACATGTCTATAGATACATTCTCTGGAGCTGTATTCACATAGGCCCATGCAGGAGAAAAGGCCAAATATATTATCAAACATTTTCTCCTAGTGTTTTCCACCCTTGGCATTCTCCAAGCTATAAAAATGGATAATGGTCCTGCTTATGCCTCCCAAAAAATTCATACAGTTCTTAAACCAATGCGGGGTTGTCCTGGGGTGACTTTATGATGCTTGTACCCCAAATGTCTGTTCTGTTTATGCTACATATTAAGTTCTGCACCTTTAAGACTGGCTCCAAGAGCAAAGCGGGAGGGAAGGAAGAAGCACACAATTCGTTTGCAGAAATGACACTCACTCCCCTGCATGCTTCTCTCAACTGTGTAGTCTGCAGCACGGACGGACAGCAGGACAGAGCTCTTTGTTGCTTTTAGTTAGTTTTTAGCTAGCTGAGGCAGAGAAGTTCCCCAGACTGTTTTTTTGTTTGGTTGTTTTTTTTTTTCCTTGGATCTGTTCAAACCTGCTCTGGACTGAAAACAGAAAAACACCAGAAGCTCACGTCTGTGGCCCACTGAGGCCTGGGCCTTGGCACTTTCCAGCGCCGGAGGGACTGATACAAGACTGAGCAAGCTGAGCTATACCCCAGGAAAAGGACTTCTTCTGAATTTGCCAAAAAAAATCTCTTTGAACAGCAAGAGGTTTTATTGTTTAATATTATTAAACTTCTGTTAAATAAACAGTTTGTTTTCACTTTTCTCCAAGGAAATCTTTTCCCAAACCAGTTAGGGGAGGGGCCACTTAAATTTGCTTTCTGGAGGGACTCCATTAGGAGGTTTTCTCCCAAATTTGCCCTAAACCAGGACAGGGGAGAAACACACCACTGGCACATACCCCACTCTCCAATGAGACAATCTATTTTAGAGAGGGGTCACCGCACCCTCAAGAGACTCCTTGATCAGCAGCGTGGGGAGGTTAAAACATTATCGAGTATAGAAAGATTATGTAAGGCCCTTTACGTAATCAATTTTCTTAATAATTCATTTGTGGAGCCAAATCCCCCCATAGTCAGACACTTCTCATTAGCAGAGCTCAGATCACACAAAAGCTGCCTATGCTGATCAAGGACCCAGAGTCCAAGCAAATAATGGGCCCCTTTCCATTAATAACCTGGGGGAGAGGGTATGCTTTCATGTCTACAGGATCTAGCCCAAGGTGGATTCCAAGCAGAAATAGCAAGCCATACATCAACTGCCAAATGCGGCACCCAGAGACACTTCTCCAGAACCTGAAAAAGAGCAAGGAGACCAGGCTTGAGTGCCGTGAAGGAGAAGAAAGAAAAGTAAACACAGATACTTGTCAACAAAGAAGATGACTCTCTGCTGCTCCATCTATTAGAATTATAAGATTCTCCATTAGGTTTTACTCACAGATTGTGTGGCACTGTTACCCATCTTTTAATTATTATACCGTTACCTCCCTTTTGTTTGTTACACTGTTATTCCGTCTTTCTTCCCACACCCCTTCTACTCTGTATAAATTGAGGGAATGGGATGAAAAGATATGTTAAAGTTATACAAGTCTAAAAAACCATTTTTTTTAACTCTCAGATGAACTCGTCCCTAAGTCTCCTCTCATGTCTTCAGTGGCAAGGGACCTCCAGCTGTTCCATATAAAATTTTTGATGCTACTCACCTTTTCATCTGCTGGTACATGGATCGTCCCTCATCCCCATCAGAACATCTGGGTCACACTGGCCAAGACTTTACAACAAGACAATCTATGCATGTCCATGGGCAACCTAGGCAGCCTGCTGTCGATGTGCCCGGTAGGGATTCCTTTAGCAGCAAATGAATACCCGTATGCAGGTAAGAAAACCAGTCCAGTAGACAGTTGAGATGATTGGACCAAAATTCTGCTGCAAGCACCAGAAGAACCCCAGGAATTGGATTTGTTGGGGCCCTCCAAAGCTGTATATTGTGTGCAGTTTTATTATAGACTTTTTGACGAACAACCCACTTTGACCTTATTAGGTCCACCCATAGAAAAGATGTAACACCAATTAACAAAATTTATAATCCTCCAAATTGGTGCAATTACACCAGTCATACACTTTCTTTGTCCTCACTCCATCCCAAAGTGCTGCCCCATGGGGTATTTCTAATCTGTGGGGATCGGGAATTGGCCAGGATCCCCTCATGGCTCCAAGGGGGTCCTTGTAGCTTTGACCAGCTTAATACCCTTACCCCAAATATTACTTTGCTTCAAAGTTGGAATCAAAAAGGGAAATTGGCATGCCGAAAGAGGTCATATACTGAATTTTATGAAAATTGCAATAGCTAAGTTACTAACTGGAATAAAGAGAATCGCAGTCTCATTGTTTTTACCTTGGGTGGCTGCAGCTTAGGCTCTCAGTGAGCTTTCTCACCTGGGGTGTTGGCTTAGTTAGCAGGCCAATGCCACCTCCACTGCACTCAGTGACCTGCTTAGTGACGCTGAAACTACCAGGCACATGTCTCTACAAAACTGAGCTGCAATAGACTTTTTACTACTTGCCCATGGACATGGCTGGCAGGATTTTGAAGGAATGTGCTGTTTCAACCTTTCTTCACATTCAGAATTTATCCATGCAAACATCCAGAAGCTGAGGGAGCAAATAAAGGACTTAAAAGTGGAAAAGAACCCAGACTGGGTCAACAAACTTTTTGGACAATGGGGGATTGACAGGATGGGTTTCAACTTTTGTTAAAGGGATTTTGTGGGTTGGAATCATTGTTTTTATTGTCTACTTATGTTTTCCTGTTTAGTTAAGCATCTGCATAAGTCCATTGGAGAAGCCTTTTTAGTAACATAAAACAGGGGAGTTGTGGAGGCCCTTGAGCCTATTAGGGAAACTTCTGGGGGGGATGCCCTGGGAGAATCTAATTTTATGAAATTATGCAATTTTCATAAAATTCAGTATATGATCTTCGAGAAAGCCTTGGTGCTCGGGGTGAGACAAAAGGCTACCCCATGGTGCCCTGCAACACTAGGTTAATCTACCTCAGTATCTATAGGTCACTGCCCTTTGCCCTGCCCTTGTGCTGCCCCTGAGTCCCCAGACCATTGGCTCCTGACCCCATACTTAGCCTGAGACACTGGAGTGAATCCTGGTCTTTTGTCACTGGATCCCTTCGGTGTGAGTTTGCAATAAACTTCGCTGGAATTCTATACGGAAGACCCTTCTCATCTTTCTTTGCTGACTTATCTGTGATGTGTGTGAGTGTGGATTCAGTGACTGTCTGTGACTGTCTTCTCATCTTTCTTTGCTGACTTATCTGTGATGTGTGTGAGTGTGGATTCAGTGACTGTCTGTGCCTACCTGAGCAGCTTCCTCAGGAGATGTTTTCGGAGTGGTAGCAGCAATCACCATCCATTTTCCATGCTGGTACACCACAGTCTCAAGACATAAAGATGGGGATTTTTGTGATCACCTTCACCAGTTCTGACCAGTGCAGAGGTATTTCTGGGGGTATTTCTTTCTGGCCTTGTTGTCTCTGGGGTGGCCATTCAGACACCTATCTGAAATTCCACCACAGTGTTTTGCCTGTTTTCTCAGCTTTATCCCATTATTCCTGTTGTTCTTAACTAACACAAAAAAATTCTTCCATTTTGCTGTTTATAGGTGTCCTCAACTGAAATTTTGGCATGTTGTTTTTTCTTACTGTATCCTTTCAATAAAATAAAACAGATCCAATTTTTTAAAATTCAATCTCTTTTGTTCTCCGATATTGTCTTGAGCTCTGCCTGCACACCACCTGCTGACTAATACATACTGAAAACAGAAATCCTATAGCGAGCACTAGAAGTGGGTTATAACTCATTATCTGTTATCCTTTCTAATAGTCAAGGTCAAAGTCAAGGGTTTGAGGACCAGACATGTTCCTGCTGAACTCATTGGGAGCAGCAGAAAATTCTTTGCTCTACCACGTAACTGCAGGGGGAAGTGAAGTTTCCGAACCTGTTATTGCCAGCGTTGCAGTGCTTAATGTCCCCGTGCTGCAATAACGGTGTCAGGCAAGCTGGGTTCTTCTCAGCATGCAAATATTCAGCTTTAGGCAAAGCCCTTTGAATGCTGTTCTTTGCTAGTTTTCAAACATCTTGGAGATCTACTAAGCAGATCAACTCAACAAACAGGTTCTTGTATTTTGAGTGCTGTGCACTCAGGCTGGATGCTGACAGCTCCAACTTGTGCATCTCTATCCATGTACCTCTGAGGCTGCTTACTGTGAACAGCTTCTGATGGAGGAGAGAGAAAACATTTGAAATTACACCAGAGCAGTGTCTCAGGGGAGCACCGCATGCTACCCACAGGTTGTCACCCAGAATAGCACATCTGCAGGAGGACATGGTCAGCCCCACCATGGTGAGGCTGTTTCATGGGCAGCCCAGACTGTTGAGCAGCTCATAGGGATGAGGCAGGTCTGAGGTCAACCTGGAAAGTCAGTCTGCAGGTTGGAATCAGCATGGGGCCAGTGATGGTGACCAGGGACACACCCAGTGCATGACAGGTGTGTAGTAACAAGGCTAGGTCAGGCAAGCAGGCTGCAGGTCTGGGTCAGAGAGAGTCAGGGCTGGCCATGGCCATGGCCATGGCCATGGCCATAGGCACATTGGTGAGAGTACTGGAGACAATCACACCTCGACACAACTCAGATGGGGACTGAAGGTCCAGGGTTAACATGAGCTGGGGCTCCTGGGCAGGACTAGGTTGCAAGCCCTAAGTGAGGTGTAGTAATGCATCTGAACAACTTGGGCCATGATGTGCTCCAGCCAAACCATATTTACAGTTTATTATCAGACCTTCTGGAACTTTTCAAGGTTGCTGAGACATAAGCTATTCAAAAATTAAGAAAGAAGAAGCTGGAAAACAAGAAAACAGGACCACAAGAGCCAAATAACAGAGGGCAGTTGAACACCTGGACTGTAACCAATCC